GTATATATGTTAGTTTTTTCTGGCGTTCCGTAGTTCGATTGCTAGCACACTTGGCTTACACACTGAGGTCCGGGGGTCGATCTCCGGTACAGTTGGAAAAATTAGGACGTATTTCCTTAAGGCACCTGCTGTCCATGTTCACCTATTAGTAAAATAGGTACCTGGGTGTTAATCGACTGGTGTGGGTCACATTCTGGGGACAAAACTGACTAAATTGGCCCGAAATGCTCTGCATAACCAGGGGTTTTCTATATAGTAGTATGTCAGTGATGTCAGCTAGGACTGTATACCTTGTACATGTACTTGTAGAAATAAAGATTATTATTCACAATATCAGGTAGTATCTCATATTACTTTACTCCACAAAAAATGTTTTTTTTTTTTTTTGCTTTTTTTACCGCTCGTTCTCTTACTTCTCCTTTTGTTGTGATTCTCTTGTTTTAATAAAATTAATTCCTTTCATCTCATTTGGAGATGTATCAGCATGCACAAACACTTGGCCATGCTGCAAGACGTGCATACACAGGTAGAGAACTTGCTTTTACCGTGACAATGTTTCGCTCACACGGTGGGCTTCATGTCAGTGACGTGATAAAGCCCACTGTGTGGACGAAACGTTGTGGTTGAAGGATCCACTGCCTGTGAATCATATCTACTACATGACTGTTAGGTCCAGGTGTTGATCACGGCCGCTTCGTCCGTGTTGATCACGGCCGCTTCGTCCGTATGCAACAATCACACCAAATTTAACTAAGATCATTCAAACTACAACCATGTTGTAGCTTCTCCAGTAACACTTTGGTGACATGCTGTGGTTCCTCCAGTAACACTTGGTTGACACATGCTGTGGTTCCTACAGTAACACTTGGTTGACACATGCTGTGGTTCCTACAGTAACACTTGGTTGACACATGCTGTGGTTCCTCCAGTAACACTTGGTTGACACATGCTGTGGTTCCTACAGTAACACTTGGTTGACACATGCTGTGGTTCCTCCAGTAACACTTGGTTGACACATGCTGTGGTTCCTACAGTAACACTTGGTTGACACATGCTGTGGTTCCTCCAGTAACACTTGGTTGACACATGCTGTGGTTCCTCCAGTAACACTTGGTTGACACATGCTGTGGTTCCTCCAGTAACACTTGGTTGACACATGCTGTGGTTCCTCCAGTAACACTTGGTTGACACATGCTGTGGTTCCTCCAGTAACACTTGGTTGACACATGCTGTGGTTCCTCCAGTAACACTTGGCTGACCCATGCTGTGGTTCCCCCAGTAACACTTGGCTGACCCATGCTGTGGTTCCCCCAGTAACACTTGGTTGACACATGCTGTGGTTCCTCCAGTAACACTTGGTTGACACATGCTGTGGTTCCCCCAGTAACACTTGGCTGACCCATGCTGTGGTTCCCCAGTAACACTTGGCTGACCCATGCTGTGGTTCCCCCAGTAACACTTGGCTGACCCATGCTGTGGTTCCTCCAGTAACACTTGGCTGACCCATGCTGTGGTTCCCCCAGTAACACTTGGCTGACCCATGCTGTGGTTCCCCCAGTAACACTTGGCTGACCCATGCTGTGGTTCCTACAGTAACACCGGTTGACACATGCTGTTGTTCCCCCAGTAACACTTGGTTGCTCCATGCTGTGGTTCCTACAGTAACACCGGTTGACACATGCTGTTGTTCCCCCAGTAACACTTGGTTGACACATGCTGTGGTTCCTACAGTAACACCGGTTGACACATGCTGTTGTTCCCCCAGTAACACTTGGTTGCTCCATGCTGTGGTTCCTACAGTAACACCGGTTGACACATGCTGTTGTTCCCCCAGTAACACTTGGTTGCCCCATGCTGTGGTTCCTACAGTAACACTTGGTTGACCCATGCTGTGGTTTCTACAGTAACACTTGGTTGACCCATGCTGTGGTTTCTACAGTAACACCGGTTGACCCATGCTGTGGTTCCTACAGTAACACTAGTTGACACATGCTGTGATTCTCCAGTAACACTTGATTGATACATGCTGTGATTCTCCAGTAACACTTGGTTGACACATGCTGTGATTCTCCAGCAACACTTGGTTGACACATGCTGTGATTCTCCAGTAACACTTGGTTGACACATGATGTGATTCTCCAGTCACATTTGGTTGACATATGCTGTGATTCTCCAGCAACACTTGGTTGATACATGCTGTGATTCTCCAGTAATACTTGATTGATACATGCTGTGATTCTCCAGTAACACTTGGTTGACACATGCTGTGATTCTCCAGTAACACTTGGTTGACACATGATGTGATTCTTCAGTCACATATGGTTGACATGTGCTGTGATTCTCCAGCAACACTTGGTTGACACATGCTGTGATTCTCCAGTAACACTTGGTTGACACATGCTGTGATTCTCCAGTAACACTTGGTTGACACATGCTGTGATTCTCCAGTAACACTTGGTTGACACATGCTGTGATTCTCCAGTAATACTTGGTTGACACATGCTGTGATTCTCCAGCAGCACTTGGTTGACCCATGCTGTGGTTCCTACAGTAACATTTTGTAGATATTTCACTAATAACCTGTCCAACCATACCATGGATGAGTGTGTTGAGCTGCACAAGTCCAGTGTGTGCGCAGTTCTGGACTTAACGTTATGGACCCGTAGTACCAACACTCTTATGTGGGTATGAGGCTTGGGTTGTAAAGGCTGGAGCAAGGAGTCGGCTGGAGGCAGTGGAGATGTCGTGTCTAACGGCAATATCTAACCTTCCTTTACAAATCTACCTGGAATCTACCTCGAGTTACCTAGAATCTACCTCGAGTCTACCTGGAGTTGATTTCGGGGGTCACAGCCTCCGGGGCCCAGTCCCAGACCCAACCTCCTGGATGAACCTCCTCAAAAAGGCTGTTGGTGCAACAAATATCTCACACAGACTCAGGAACTTGTTTAATTTTTTTTTACCCCAGTACAATATTCATGTTTTCTTTACACTGACATATTAAATACCAAGAGCTAAACACGTATGGGCAAACCAGCTTTATTATCTGTAGCAACCTCAGTAAGTCTTCCAGTTAGTGTCAGTAAACATTTACAAAGACTATAATACTGACACTTTTTTTCTATATTTAGGAGGGGAGGGAATGGGTGAAGATGGATGGAGGGATGGGTTAAAAAAAAGAGATGGTAGGAAGATAGGTGAAGAATAAGTGAAGGATGGGTGAATGTAGATGAATGGTTCAGATAACCGACAAGTTGATAAATTAGACACGTGCAACACTTGGGTATCTTTAATGGGGAAACGTTTCGCCACACAGTGACTTCATCAGTCCATACCATTCTCCTCTGTATGGACTGATGAAGTCACTGTGTGGCGAAACGTTTCCTCATTAAAGATACCCAAGTGTTGCACATGTGTCTAATTTATCAAGGATGGGTGAAGGAGACATGTCTGAAGGATGGGTGAAGGAGGGATGGGTGAAGGAGGGATGGATGAAGGAGAGAGAATGATTGAAGGAGAAGGGAAGATGAGGGGAAGAATTTCTGCATGCTCATGAAACTCCGTACTTGAGGTGTAACGCCGGGGAGATCAAGAGAAGGCAAGGCAGGGAGGTTAAGTGTTTGGCCAACTGAATATTACGTAACATCTAAGAAAATCAACAAGAACTCACCGCAGTACAATGTACACAAGGAGGATCTGATCACATTACAAGGCAGTACAGTGTACACAGGGTGGAATCTGATCACATTACAGGATATTACATGTACACAAGGAGGATTCGGTTACATTACAAGGCAGTACATTGTACACAAGGGAAATCCGGTTCCAAGATGATACAATGTACACAAGGAGGATCTGGTTACAAGGCAATACAATGTACACAAGAGGGATCTGATTACAAGACAGTACAGTGTACACAAGTGGAATCTGATTACATTACAAGGTAGTCGAAGACAACATTTCTCAAGTGATGTGAACGTATCTTGTGCTGAAGCTGTCGTAGCTACTGAACTTACAGAGGAATACTTGACATCTTCACTGTCCTACTGAGGTCTCCCAGTTCAGGCTGATACACTGTATTAACTTATTACAAAACTCCATCCTGGTGGAATATGACGGAGAAACATAGCTAGCTTTTCTTCCCACAATGTAACTATCATATAATGTAGCAAAACACTGCTGTTGTTCCCACAATGTAATTTATCATATAGAATACTGTAGAAACACACTGCGGTTGAACCTGATTACATTAAACAGCAAAACGCAGAAAAGCAGTTTAAACAATTAGAAGGTAATTATGATGACCAGCTTGGGTGTGAGGTCTCGTCAGGCCTGAGTGTGAGTACTACTGCCTAGCTCCATCTACCTCCCCACTACCTCTACAATGGACTGTAGGTAGGCAGACCTGCACACACGCTACACTCGCGCAACTTTGACTGATAGGTGTATTAGGTTCGAAGCCTCATTAAGCCTGTAAATCAGCTGTACACAATCTATCAAGGATACTTCAATCACTGAAACAGATTAAACTCTATATACACCAAGAAATATACACTTCTCACTTTATATACAATGAGCTAAACGCTGGTCTATACTGAAAAAGACATATCTTGGTATGTATACACAAAGGCACACACTTTCAGTGTATATACGCTAATAGATACTGACCTCTCGGTGTATATACACAGATACATACTTCAGGCGTATAATTTTTTCCATTCATTTAAGAAGTTTAATACACTATGGAAAAATACACTATATACACTACTGGAAATCGAAAGTAGCCAACACTTGGGTCCGTCAAGGATCAAGACGTCTCCATGGAGGGCTTGGAACTTCATAATGATTCAGGATGGACCGAAACGTCGTTTAGTTATCATTTCCTATCTGTGGGTTAGTCGTGAACTGCTCTATTTACAGTGTTCTTACTTTTATTCTACAGAATATACGCCCTTGTAAAGTTTGCAAGTGTAAAACTAGAGAACCAAGAGGATGGTTACCTGCAGCTCGCATGGTGGGTGGAATGATGTTGTAGGAAGTAATGTTGGCAGGTGAGTTGGTGACTGGTATGGTGGAGAAGGTTGTCGGTATGGTGAAGGCTGTATCCCAGGGCCCCGAGGTAAACACCTTGGTGCTTGGCTGAGGAGTTGCAACCACACTGCCCAGATCCTTGTATGTGGCAGGCTCAAACGTTTTCTGCGTCTGTACGAGCCTGGCAGTAAGTTCTGGTTCGGTGGTTTACACAAAGGCTTTAGCACCAAAGGCGATGAAATAATAATGGCTTTGAAGGAGTCCTCGTAAATAAATTATTACTGGTCGCAAACGAGGTAAATAGTCTTATTTAGGAGACTCAAATGAACGTATTAGCACCACTAGGTTTTTCGAGGTACAGGAAGTTATTAATGGTAACACGAGCATGTAGGTAAGTGGTCTTTTATTGAAGGCTCGAGACGAGGGGTATTAGAACCACTAGGCATGGAGGTAAACAGTCCTGGTGTGCAGGTACAGGCGAGGGTCAGTAATAATCGCACTGGTGAAGAGCTTAGTGGTCCTGTCTGGGAGAAACACTGAGTGAGGAGACGAGAACAGGTGTGAGAGCACAACAAATGAAGTAAGGAAGTGTGACATCACTATACAATTACCTCACAGATATACAACACTTAAGATGTAACGTAACGATCATGCCCACACCCGTAACATTATCATCGTTGTTGTGGAGACAACCCACGATAAGAGGTGAGAACAGCCAACCAGCAAGGAAGAGTTGAAACACTAAGAAGGAAAAGATAACTGGCTTTTGAAGACACCAAAAACTTCTTAAAACAAAATAAAAACCCAGGAACAAATGATGGTTGCAGAAGTGGTGAACACAAGACGTTGTTAAAAACAAGGGAAGCTGGACGTGCTGTTATTTTTATTATATAATATTCACAAGAAAGTACTAAACTGACAATATCCACGAGGAATGGAAATTAATCAGGTTTGATTCAAGGGAAAGTAGAGAAGCTCCAGTTCCCTGGATCAGGAGTTCTTCACTCCCCCTGTTAAAGGAAGAATTCTCTTCAGAAAACCCAGGGAGGCTGCAACAAGAAAATAGGAACAATGAGTGCTCCAGACTTGTAGTTTTTCAAGACTCAAGCTTTTATACTGGAACAAGCAGCACCTCAAGATCTGGCACCCCGGAAGGTTTCACAAGAAGTTTCCAATGAGATGAAGAAACTGGAACTTTCACAGTGGTAGCAGCAGCAGCGCCACACGACCTCGCTCCTACAATATTCAACAGTTGTGTTCACAATAGAAGCCACTAAAACTTCATACTCATTCCTGACACTATGAACTAACTCATTGTGTGTGTGTGTGTGTGTGTGTGTGTGTGTGTGTGTGTGTGTGTGTGTGTGTGTGTGTGTGTGTGTGTGTGTGTGTGTGTGTGCGCGCGCGCCGCGTCTCGTGCCGAACAGGTAAAACTTGCGATTTTGGCTTAAATAGCAGCGCTCTTCTTGCCAAATAAAGCAAGCGAAAATTTGTGTATGCAATAATTTCGCAAAAATCATTCTGAACCTAACGAAAAAATATATTTCATTGTGTTTGTTTATTATTAAATTATTATAAACTTATCTAAAATATATTTAGTTGGATTAGGCTAAATTAAACTGCAGTTGTTATAATGTCAGGTAAGTTTTCTAAGGTTCTTTTGGTACAAAATTATTAATTTTTACATTAACATGAATGAAAAATATATATACCTTTAAACGTATGAGAAAATTTTTAGAAAGGACTTAATTTTAAATGAGCTCTTGCTAATTGAGCAGTTTTACCTATTCGGCACGACACATATAATGTGCGTAATAGGCTAAATTTGCGGAACAGGCCAAGCTCCATTAAAAAATAAACTTTTCAAACAAAAAAATTTGACAATGATAGGTAAGGTTTTTTTTTTTCATTGATAATGTTATGAAGATTTTTATTACTGAATCAAACGCAATTTAGAAACCTCATTTAAAATAGCGTGTAAGTCACTTTAAATTAACTTAATATTACTTTAAATCAATTATATATTTTTTCGTTATGCTCACATTGTTTTTTCTTCAGAATGATTTCCGTTGATTTGTGGCAAAAATTAATTTTCATTCTCCTAATTCTGCTAATTTGCCGAGTAGACCAAATTCGCCGGTTGGGCTTAATCGCCATGACTGACTGATACACACACACACACACAAAAGCTAGAGGATCAGGCACATATAACAGGAAGGGCACTGCAATGGATCAGAGAATACCTAACAGGGAGGCAACAACGAGTCATGGTACGTGATGAGGTATCACAGTGGGCGCCTGTGACGAGCGGAGTTCCACAGGGGTCAATCCTAGGACCAGTGCTATTTTTAGTATATGTGAATGACATAACGGAAGGGATAGACTCAGAAGTGTCCTTGTTTGCAGATGATGTGAAGTTAATGAGAAGAATTAAATCGGATGAGGATCAGGCAGGACTACATAGAGACCTGGACAGGCTGGAAGCTTGGTCCAGCAACTGACTCCTCGAATTTAACCCCGCCAAATGCAAAGTCATGAAGATCGGGGAAGGGCAAAGAAGACCGCAGAGTATAGGCTAGGATGCCAAAGACTGCAAACCTCACTCAAGGAAAAGGATCTTGAGGTGAGTATAATACCGAGCACATCTCCTGAACAGCACATCAACCAGATAACTGCTGCAGCATATGGGCGCCTGGCAAACCTGAGAATAGCGTTCCGATACCTCAGTAAGGAATCGTTCAAGACACTGTACATCGTGTACGTCAGGCCATACTGGAGTATGCAGCACCAGTCTGGAACCCACACCTGGTCAAGCATATCAAGAAATTAGAGAAGGTGCAAAAGTTTGCGACAGGCTAGTTTCAGAGCTAAGGGAAATGTCCTACGAAGAAAGGTTAAAGGAAATCGGTGGCCCACATATCCTTCACAGCCTGGTTAAATCCTGGCAAAATGGTCATGATGATTATTACATAACAAGCGTGAAAATCCAACTCTGCATACGGCAGTGTAATTCTGGTAACATGAAGTGTCCTGACAGATGGAAGTTGTAGTCAAGTGTGAGACAAAACAGCCATATAAGTTGTGTGTGTGGTGGCGGGAGAGCTGAGGTTGTCATGATGCTTCTCTTATAACACTTAGGTTAATAAAGCACAACTTGTCAGCACTAGCCGTCACAATTAACACTCAGCTTAAACAGTATTTACCCTAATCTGAAAGACGACACTCGATTGTTTTTTTTTTTCTGCTCGGAAATATACTGATCACAGTATAAGAATAAATTATGAGATTAATGAGAGAGGAATGTACAGACTGTACAAAAATGAAGTATATTATGATTTATTGGGAAACGAACTACACAACAGTAAACTCCAGAGGTGATGAATTTATAGGTAAGGTTCTCTCGAGAAAGAGGTAAGTGCCAGGCTATTAAAGTTTATCAACTACACAAGTCAATAAGGATGTGTGTCACTTGTACACAATTGGAATTTAATTAGGACTCAGTGTATATACACCGACAGACATATATACCTCTCGGTACATATATATAGATAAGTGTGTTAAAACAAAAGTTAAAATAATCTCTGCAAGAGTGAGACAGGAGCCAACAGACGGTGCAAGATTCTACAAATAGGGTGAGAGGGGAAAAGACGGGGTGAGAGGGAAAAAGAGGGGGAGAGAGAGAATAAGAGCTAGAGAGAAGAGCTAGAAAGATAATAAGAGCCAGGGAGAAAGAGCCATATAGAAAGAGGTAGAGAGAAAGAAATAGCGGGGTGGATATGACTATGGTTCGGGTGAGTTGGGAGGTACAGGTGGCAGTAAACCTCACCTTCCGTACCTCAGAGATCCTGTGTGATGGAATATAACAAGGAAACACCTAACTATTGTTCTCACTATGTAATCATATACGATAGGACAGCAGAACACTGCTGTGTCGAATTTTGATAATAAAAACATAATACCAGGCGCCGTGGGCACAATATGAGAGCATTGTATCAACATCCGTGGTCCCTGACTTGTACAAGGTATGCCATGAACACAGCTAGTCAACAGATTGTTACAGGTGAACACCAGGTGGAAGGTTCCAAGCGCTAAACCCGAGGTTCATGTGCCAGCAAGCACAGCCTCAGGTGTATACAACATGAGAATGTGTCAGCTATCACAACCTCAGGTGTATACAACACCTGTTAACACGTGCTTACGGCGAAAGAACAAAAAAAATGAAATGTTAAAAATAAGAACGTTAAAGAAAATAAGAAAGGTAGAGGAAGAAGTGTTCACCGCAGAGTGGAACAATGGAGGTAATGCAGAACACGAGCATTATTATTATTATTATTATTATTATTATTATTATTATTATTATTACTACTATATTCAAAGTTAAACGGTAAGCCTCTGTGGTTCATTCTGTGTTAAGAATGGAAAGGAATCAAGTTTAACATAAGGAACGGAAGGAACACTAGACTAGTTTAGATAGGCTTTATACCCTCAGGGGTATTTCTAATAGTTATAATTATAACCATAATTTTTCAAGGGGTGGACCGATAAGCCACGGGAAGGTCTCGGTCAGATGACCGAAAATTCCAGTTGTAGATCATCATATGACTAAGACCCTTACTTATGTGTACAATTGGTTCAGGGAACCGACAAGTTGATAAAACAGACACCTGTGTAACATCTGGGTATCTTTGCTGAAGAAACGTTTCGTCACACAGTGGCTTCCTCAGACCAGTACAAAGGAGAATGGGAAAGATCAGAAGGAGTTTGAGGTAATCAGTCCCCTCAGCCTGGAGTCGATGTTATCAGTCCATCAGTCTTGAAAAGATTGATCGACTTATTACCTCAAACTCCTTCTGATCTTCACCATTCTGCTTTATATTTAACTGATGAAGCCACTGTGTTGCAAAACGTTTCCTCAATAAAGATACCGAAATGATGCACATACGTGTCTAATTTATCACACCTAACCTAACGTAGACGTGTTTACATGAGAGGTCTTGTACAGCGTGGAGGAACACCCTCATCCTTGGTGAGAGACCAGAGATAAACAGGAGAAACAATTATTTTATCATCTAGGGAACACTGGTTGTGAATGTTGCAGGTGAACTGGACACTCGTCAGGCTCATGGCGCTGGACTAGTTTAGTAAGTGGCACAGCAGCCAGTAGGTCAAGACTCCTCGAGCCAGGTCAGCCCAGTCACAGCAGCTGTTGCGAAGCTGTGGGTCACGAAGCCAGCTATAAGCCAGGTCAATGGTGGTCCAACGCTCACTCACGCACCACCAGTAACAGCTGCGTCACCCCTGGTACCATCTTTCACCCCATCATTCGCAACGTTAAGATAAGGTACGACAGATCCCCTTTCTAATATATTTATTTTTCCCCTGTAATCTACCTTGTCCATAATTACTATTGCATTTACTTTATTTGCTTTCGTAAAGTAAAGTCAAGGATCTTTCCATAATTCATTGTATAACTTTACAAATCTTTGAGGACAATTGTGCTGCACAAGTCTGACCAACACAACTGTCATCAAAGATT